CGTTCACCACTTTGGCATGGGCTGCATTGCTTTTTTCCAGGTTTTTTTTTTGCTACAGGGAAATCCCAGTAGCAAATTTTGCCCACATGCTGCAAATTAGGAGTGCCGCACACGGATTCTTGTGCAACTCATGGAGTTTGTGGTGTGGCAAGCACTACAAACCACACGTGCCTGCATGTCTGGATCCAGCCAGTAAGTGTGTGTGATCTTCTTTAAGACTTTCTTCACCTGGGAATTCATGTCTGTTTCACAGGATGAAGGGAAGCTCCAAGTAGGATTTGAGGGGAGCATTGCATGTCTTCTGATAACTGCCACCATTTACTGACTTCCATGGAGGCATGCCCTAACTAGCGTGTTGGATGCAGAACCCTGAAGGACCATGGGAAACATGTCTTCAAGCTTCAGATGCCGCTAAATGAGCTCCCGACAGATGTAAGATTCAGAACTGCAGACTCATCTGCAGACATCTGCTTCTGACTCCATTCCCCCTAGTTACAAACTAATCTCTGACTACCTAATTCTTATGCCTTTTAAAACAATCCTTAAATTGCCTCCTGATAACTTAATACCTCCCCACCCCCAGCTTAGCCTTTTTGAAAGAGGAGGAGGAGATGGTGATGAGTCACAGAAGAAAATTACCAAAGAAAGTTTCAAAAACACATTTCAACAGAGCTATTAGGAAAAAAAATCCTTGCAGACTTGTGGGAAAAGAATCTGTTAAAAATGTTTTGGTTTTGCAAAAGAAAATATTTGTTGCAAAAAAACAAAAGTAAAAAATATCTACTCTTCCCAGAAAATGTTGCTCTGTCAAAAAAAGAAAAAGAATGCTGAAACCAAAATGGTTCAGCTGTGTAATGCTGCCCCAGAACTGCTTGGGAGTTGTAGTGAAGGTGCTTCATACTCTGCTACAAAGGAACTCCTCCAGTAGGTTTCTCCTCTCAAAATGCATCTTCCACCTTCAATAAGAGTCTGGCACTATGTTCCACTAGCTGCTTTCTCCAGTCTCATTGCCCAGTTATTCCTATACACTAATGGCAAGACCTATTGGGTGCATATACAGTACTTTGGTTCCCTGCTTAGCTTGAAAATTAGCAGGTCTTTTCCCTCTCTAATGTCTATGATCTGTTTCCTACTACTATCTTTTCTACCTGGGCAGTATCTTTTTTACTGGAGGCCTCCTGAGCAGGGGAACTGACCCTATTAATTTGTTAGACAGTTCAGAAGGGTCTTTGAGGGAATGACCGAATTTCTGCCTTTTTCAATGCCCATTTGAAATGAGTAACAACAATAAGGTTCTTTACTACTGCACGCTCACAGACACAGATACAGAACTGCACAAACTTCTAAATACATCCACAGTACACAAAGACAGTATAAATATATATCACCAATACACTTTAATACTATGCAGTCAAGGACTGTGTCTACACAAGTGTGAATGTTTGGTTCCCCAGGGACAACTAGCAGTGGGACACCTTGTGCCACTGTAAGTTGTCCCAGGAAAACACCTGTGCCATGTGCCCTCTGGCGTGCAGCAGGTTACCCTGGATATGGTAGGGAGGGCTGGGGTTAGCACCGGGCTAGCCCCAGCAGCCTTACCTGGAGTCCTGGGGGCCTCTTGGAGCTGCAGCAGCAGCGATTCTGGTAATCGGATCATGGCCAGCAGCCGGAGTGTGGCTTTGGCTGTCCAGGCTCTGGTTTTGAGCTGTGCGTGCTGTCCCCGCGTGTACCACTCCACATTTTTTTACATGGGTTTTTGGACCCCTGGATATCCAGGGATGAAAAAAAACCCCCAAACCCACGCTGCTCCCTTGCAGTGCAGAGAACAGCTGAACGTGTGCTATGTGGTACCGCATACCACACAGCTGCGTTTGTCTGGATGCAGCCAAGATATGACACATGTTCTTGTGGTTTAATCACTCGATTGGGATTCAGGGTTGAACTCCCAGGTCTAGAATAATTTCCTGCATCAACATAGGCAAATCACTTGATCTTTCTTTACCAAAAGGAGAAAACAAAGTACTATGAGGATAATCCTCTTTCTCTGCCTTGTTGGGGTACTCTGTAGATAAATTCACCAGTGTATATGAGATGGCCAGACGGAAGTAGATAGAAAAACTTATACCACTGCAACTTGCTGCTTTCTTTCATTTGTAAATCACCACCTTTAAAGGCATTTTTAACCAAGCGATTATTCCATATTCAACCTTCTTTTTTATTATGAAAATCATTTAAAAATAAGTATTCCTGACTGTTAACAGAGAATTTCTTGAAACAGTGTTGGGATTGTCTGTATTTAGAAGCACAAACAAAGTACAGCAAAAGGGACCTTTCCCATTACATCCAAAGTACCCAATGAATGATGATCAGCCTAAGGCCATTAATCTGCCCCTAACACATCTAGTTAAAGAGGTGGGCAGTGGTCCACTAAATGTAATTGTGTTATTCATATGCATAAAACACATGCATAATGGGCTGTGGGATCACAGGAACATAGGAGCAAAAGGGGCCATCTGGGTTACTGAGTCCAGGCAGCCATGTAATAAAGTCCACAAAAACATTGCTCCAGTCCCACCCATGCAGCACAGCCACAACACTATAACAGATGTAGGATCACTTGTACAAAAAACCAAACAAACCCCACAGAGACTCAAAAGCTCTAATGTGCCACAGAAAGACAGCAGAAGAGATTTGGATCTAACATTTACTGTCAGCAAAAACATAAATGGTGATCAATGTCATCAAGCTGTCAGCTTTAGTCCTAATGACATTTTGATTGTATCAAGGGTCTGTGATAATCATGTCATGTACATATGTCATCATTCTTATCTGCCTTGGAAGAAGATGGACAAATTCAGCTCTAGCATTAAGCAGTACAAGCTTTCAGATCTGCTTCAAAGAGGACTTAATTCTTGTCTCCACTATTACACTTTAAAACAGAGACTTGGATCCAGGTTTCTATCAGGTTACCGAAGGGATGCCACTTGCTCAAGAAGATACTATGTCTGATCCTTTGCCATTCATCCTAATTTCTGACTGTTAGGAAAGAAACAAATGTTCACAGCCCTGGTCAGACTCTTCATGTTCCAAGGGACCCGCCGTGATGCCTGCCTCTATTTTCATCACCTTTCACATATGCTCTGCATCTTATGGGAAAGAAATGTGATGGTCAACCAATCCTCAACAAAGCACTATAACCCCTAGCTGTCATGTCCACAGTAAATGCTCTGACACCACATCTTCAATTTCATTCTGCAATGGAGGCTGTTAGTGTGTTTCTAATAACTAATAGTATGTAATTAAAGTGAAACATGTGGCACTGTATGAGCAATGGATAGCACAGAATGTCACGCAACTGATCCACTGCAGGTAGCAGAAGGCAGTTGACACCCTTAAGCATTTCACATCACACATCCAATCCTGCAGCCTTGAGGATCTTGTTGGGAGCTTGTTAAAATCTGACATCTCCTTTGAGGGGGTTCAGATTAATCCTGATCAAAACCTGGGACAAACAAGGAGTAACACAGCCCTTTACACATATATAGCCTTTCTAAGTTACTTGGCTGCCACTCTTGATTGGCTTGTCCCTGGAATGACTGGCAATGAACGTGAATGACCCGAGATTAGTTGCAGGGTGGAGGTTGATGGGGAAAGAAGAGTGTTAGAACATTTTATGTTGCACACTTCATAAGTCTTAAAACAGGACAATGGGCTTGTAGTCTGTAGGAGCATTTTTACATGTGCTTGGGACATGGCAACAGGTGCTCTAATTAGTGAGCTGTGCTAATTAAAAGCACCCATGTGTCATGTGTATCAGTGTCACTACACATCCTCATGCTGAAAAAATGGCAGCGGGGCACTTTGAAATAAAGCACGTTCAATGAGCTTTAGTTCAAAGTGCCCCACCACCATTTTTTCAGTGCAGGGACATGCAGCAACGCTGATACATGTGACATGTAAGCCTGCTGGAGTGCATCAATTTTTGTGCTCCAACATACTCAATTAATCAATTAATCAAGTATGCTCCCACGTGCTGGATTCCCAGCATGTCAGACCAGGTTCTGCATACGTGTATAGGGTAGGTTCCAGGATAAGTTTCTACAGCACTCGTTCAACTAGTGCTAACTGCTCAGTGGGCTAATGCTTCTACCAATCTTACTGAATACACTTCAGACCTCGACCTTCCTGATACTACCTGAAAACAACAGGGGGAACTGAACAATCCTATCACTTGGTACATGGTTGCACAGTAGTCTTGACCTCATTTCCTAAGAACTTACTTAAACATGGAGCTGGCTACAGCTGAACTGTAGTACTTTTAGTTTTCTACTGCTGCTTTTAACAAACAGTAAAATGGGTTGAAAACTACATAACAGCTTTTTGCAAAAAGAAAAATACATATTTTTATCAATGCTTCAAAAAATTAAAAAAATTCCAATGGTTTAATTAACATAGACTACGCAAACACTTGAGCCCTTGTCTCTAGGTACTTACCATATGCTTCTGATTTAATCCTCCCTTGGAACGCCAATCTATCGGCTTAGGGGGAGGCATTTCTTAATGAACTAAAAGCAAATTTTGCTACTTGGAAATGCAGAAGCAATATAGCTGTTATGGTCCAGGAAATGAGAGAGGCAAGAATTTGTATGGGGGATATATTTTATTGGACCAACTGCTTGGATGGGATAGATTTAGATAAGCTTCTGGGTATTACAGCACCCTTCCTAAAGTCTCTGGGAGAGAAGCAGGCACAGCAGAGCTCATTAGTAGATGGAACAAAGCCTTGTGCAAAACTCCATATGTAAATAAAAAATTAAATCCTGTACTTATTTAGATATTGAATTTTACACAAGGTTTGTTCCATCTGCTAGTTAACCTTGCTGTGTCTGCTTATCTTCCAGAGACCTGAAAAATGGTGTGGCGGTACACAAAAGCTTGTCTAAATCTAGCCCAGCAATGTAGTTGGACCAATAAAATGCTTCTCCCACAAAAACTCTTGTTTCTCGCTGCTTGGAAAGATTTTCTTGTGGAGTAATTTATAACAAGTATCTTAATTAGCTAACATAGTTAAGGGTTATGAGTTTTTGGATCTTTTTTTTTATAGATTATTTTCAGAGTATCTTCACTGAAAAAGATATACTTAAACACCAGAAGAGTTTTTTAAATGGTTCTGTTGCACAAACACTGAGTTACACAGTGATCAAAGGGTTAGTGCATAACTGTAACCAGCATCATTATTAACGATTCCCTCAAATACAAATTTCCAAGCTTTATACTACTAAAGACAATCCAAAAGTAATTCACACAGAACATTCACCAATGTCAAACTGTACAACCAAGAACTGAAAGGATCCTAGGTATGGTTCCTAGACTGCTCTTTCTTGATATCACAGGGCATCTTTGGCCATGGTACCTGCTGGCCAACTGAACCCATGATGTTTCAGCTCTTGTCATTTCAAGTAGCTTCCTACTTCAAATGCATCTATGACTCTTGGTTTAATTGCAATAATGATAAGCTTAAAGAACACTTGTATTTGGCCCTATACTTTGTAAAATGGCCTGATTAGGAACATTGTCAGAGTTCATACACAGGTACTTTTAACTCCTGAAGTTTGCAGAGAACAACTTTTGCATTCAATAAAAAACATATCAACATAATGAGGGTGATATATAGCCCATTGCTTCAAAAATCGGGTTGTTCCAAACTCATGGGGACTATTGCAAAGCAAAACCATATATTCCTCAAATATACAACATCAATTTTCATTGGTATCCATGAGAACTCCAGCTCTGGCTCCAGGACAATAACAATAAAAATAATGCTTTGTCTTTCTTTTCTGCAGTTACTCTGAGAATCTCAAAGTGCTTAATAAACATGTATTAGGCCTTTCAATGCCCTGCGAGGTCAGTTTTATCCTTATTCGACAGATGGAGAATCTAAAACAGAAAGAAGCATAATTTTAGGAACTCAAGAGTCTTCACTTTTAAAGCCCTGTTCTAGTTACCTCTATCTTTTCTAAAGGGTCTAAAGTGCCTGATTCTCTGTATATGCAATATCAAGGCCCAATTTTCCTCTTAATTACACAGGTACAGCTACAAACACACTAATTTACCTGACAGGGACATGTCTGTTCAACTAAAAATACTGAAATGGGCTAGGTATATCACACAAGGCCAGAAGGGCCAATGATTGTACATTTTATTTGCATCTGTCTCCACTGCTAATACTCTTGCACTAAACATATTTACACATGTTGATAGATTTCCTCCAAAATGGGGCTTCCATGATGTCACAATCATACGTCTTTTCTCAGGATGCGAGTTCTCACACTCAGGATGCGAGTTCAGTTCTTAGTTACAGATTTGGTACAAAGTCTTCTGAAATAGCCTCCAAAATTTTAGTCCTTAATGTTCTGCCTCCAATTGCTGGTGCGTGTTCAAACTAGAATTGTACCTGGCCTTGGACTCTCTCTCATCTCAAAATAAACACCAGACCAAGTGAAAAGGCCACTTTTCTGAGCCCCTGGGCCGAAAACATGGGTGGACTTCAGTTCACTGACAGCTTCAACCCCGTTGTCATTTGTTTCTCCTTCCATCTCCCAAGTGATTGCCTCCCAAGGGGCTGTATGGGAGTAAGGGAAAGAAGAAATTTGGCCCACAGGAGGGTTTTGAATGCTATATTTTTTTCTCCTGACAACTGAGGGCTAAAATTGACCCCCAAAAACATATTATAAAGATATCAGACCCAGGCTTCTTCATCTTCCTCTGTGAGCCACATTTTGCCTTCACTCAGGGATGACTTTATCCCCGAATTCCCAGCCTGGGGGGAGCCACTCTGTTCTGAAAGCCAGGCTTCCTCCTCAGACCCAGCATTTTCTGTACTGTCTTTCCGGGTGCCAGCCAGGCTTCTCTGACTTGTCCGACTCTGGTGTTTTGAGCTGTGAGCCTTCTCCTGGTCTTTAGCTCTGACTGCCTTTTGTGCCTGTCGATGTGCCACCGGAGTGGGGATTTTGGATGGCTGCTTCTCAGGTCTGTTGTCCCTGCGGGGGCGGATTTTGGGTCTCAGCTTGAGCTTATAGATGGATGGCACTCGTTCAGGCTTTTTCAGTGCCCTCTTGGGCTTCACTTGAGGCAGTTTGGACTTTTCAGGGCTACCTGTAGGGCTTTCATTGGATGTTGCCTGTGGGGCTGTACCGTTTCTGTGGACATCTGCAGATGCTGAACATCTTGTTGGCTGTTTCCTTGACCCACTGTCTCTGATTCCACTGGATGCATCCTTCTTAAGGCGAGTCCCTTCAGACCCTCGAGGCTTTTTTTCTTGGTTTTCATCCATCAGGAGTGAGGTTGGCTGAGGAGAATCTTCCCCAGCCTGCTTTAGTGGCATTGCAGCAATCCCATTCTCCACATCCACTTGGTGAAGTGTCTTGTGGCCCTTGGAGAGTTCATCAATCACATCATCATAGTGCAACACAGCAGGGTGCCATTTTGCCTCTCTGCTTGGCACATAGACACCACTACGAGGCACACCCTCACTACAGGAATATGCGTGCCTAGAGCTGGCAAGGGGACAGAGAAAAGGTGTGGCAGACTTCCAGTGTCTGAGGTCACAGACAGCAGTGTCACTTGCTAGGCTGCAGTCTGGTGGAGCCTCATCTAGCCGGCTCCTCTCTGGATGGTGTTTTTCAGCAGGAACGGCCTCTAGCTCCTTTATGTTGGCTAAGATCTCATCCTCTAAGCTCCTGTAGAGTGCCTGCTCCTGGGCCAAATTGATGGGCAGAGGTGTATACACGCGCTCCCTCTCCCCTGGGTGGCCCACTGAAACTCCCCCGCTTCCACTACTGTTTTTAGTGTTTCCTGCCACTTCCTCTTGCATTGATTTGGCACATGGAGGCTTGTCTTTCCCCTCTGTGTCTGACTGACTGGCTCTGTCCCCTGGGCTAGTGGAAAGGCTAGTAGATGACATCTCTGGTTTGACTACCCTACAGCAGTGCCTGTGACCCTGGCAGCTATCCTCAGCTTTGAACACCGCCCTGCACTTGTACGGAGCAGGAGCTTTTGCTGTGACACTGGCTGGGGCTTTGCATTCATTGCTGAGATGGGGCTCCCCCTGGTAGCTTTTATTAGGTGTAGGGGGCCTACTGAAGGGAGAGCCAGCTTTCACCGGGATCTTTGTTCCACCCTCCATTTTTTGCATATAGCTCATGTGTTTAATGGGAGAAGATGACCTCACAGCCCCAGGGTCCCTTTGACCATGTGTAGCACTTCCTTCCAATTGTCCTTTAAGACTCTGTGTAGCTTTCTTGGCATCCTGTTGCAGGAAGGGATGAAGGGCCTTGACTGGGCTGGAAGAACGGACTGTACCAGGGAAGTTCTTGACCCCTTGTTCCTGTGGCTTGTGACCCTGTGGGATATATTTCCCTCCATGCAGGCCACTTTTTGAAGACTGAGCTGAGCTGTCCTTGAGTACTGTCATCTGGGTCTTGGATTCTGTATATCGGGCTTGTGCCAGGCTCTCTGGTTCTTTTCGATGCACCCCAGTAGTTCTTCCAGACAGCCTTCCTCTCTGCGGCTCTGCAATAGTTTCTGAGACACCAGAACTGTCCTGCTCATGTCTGGTTGGTTGGGATGTCTGGGAGGGCATGGAAACATGAAGTGCATCCCTCCCATACTGAGTAGAAGAGCTCTGTCGGGAAGGAGGCCTTTCCTCAGCAAGCAGCTGCTTCCGGGAAGGTGTAGCAGACCGCTCCCTTGTCCTGCAACATGAGAACAAGCATCACTCCAGTGTGACAATTGCCTCTAGCCACTGGTGAATTCATTCATTGCTGTGGGTGTCAAGACAGTACTGAGCTAATGGGCAGCATGAGGCTGTAAAAGCTCCTTATTATTGTCTTTCAGACATACGCTACAGTAAAATCCCTGTTATCCAGGATTTTACTAACCAGCTCAGTCTAATAACTGGAATTTCCGGCTAGCCGGACATAGTGGGTGGGGGGAAGCATGCACATGGTCACCGCCACCACCACCCACCACACTACGCTGTCACCGCTCCACGTGCAGCCGCCCCCTGCATCCGGGTGGAAACCTGGGCATTTTTACATTACTGGCACCCTGCCATTCCCCACTCACCCTGGATATCAGGGATTTTACTGTATAACCATTTCCCCTATGTGTAATATGTGCAGAGGCACTGGCACTGTCATTCTGGTACCAAGGCTTGTTGCCCTGGGGCCCACAACATCGGCCTTTAAAGTGGCTTAAATGCCTTTTCGAACTGCTTTAATGGCATTGCTGTTTACACTTAGCAGCGTATTACACTTTAAATGACTTTGGTACCTCTGAGGTGTTTTAGTTTGCTACCCTAACAAAGTGCAACAGCCGTGGAGGGAAGCACTGGGCTCCCTGCAGCTCAGGGACTACTTGGCCTGCCAGCAGCTCACCCCTCCCCCTGCTGCCAAAGAGGCAAGTAAGGATCGGGCCTCCACCCTTGTGTACACACCCTGGGGGTTTAGTTTGGTTTAAATTGAAGTGGTGCTGTTAAAAACCCACTGTTTCAATTTAGGGATAATTAAACCAAATTAAACCCCCATGGCGTGTACAAACACCCCTTGACCGTGCATGTCTCCTCTGGGAGAGACTGACAAGAAAACCAGAGGCTACTTGTATATGCCACAGGGGTTTAATTCAGTTTAGTTTTCCCTAAATTGAAACGGTGGGTTTTTAAAAACACTGCTTCAATTTAGGGAGAATTAAACTGAACTAAACCCCCGTGGTGTGTACATAAGGGTGGGGGCCTGATCCTTACCTGCCTGTTTGGTGGCGGGGGGAGCGAGCTTCCGGTGAGTCGAGCTGTCCCTGAGCTGTGCAGGTGGGGGGGAGACACAAGACCAGGCGGCAGGCAGGCAGGCTCCGAGGAGGAAAAAAAAAAATCAGGTCGCCGCTTTTTTTGTTGTTGTTCATGGGCTGCCGTCAGGTCCCACAGCCCCTGAGCTGCATGGGGCCTCCCAAGCCCCAAGCATGTTGGCTTCCAGCACCCCATGCACTGTTGCACTTTGTTAAATATGAAACTAAAACACCTTGGAGGGATTTTATCTTGCTATGTACCAAAGTCATTTAAAGCGGAATACACCATTGAACAACAATGCCATTAAAGCAGTGAAACAGCAAACAAATGCCCTTTTACACTGCTTTAATGGCATTGCTAAGTCACTTTAAAGGCCAATTTTGTGGTGCGTACAAAGGCCCACAGAGACCCCAGATGCCAGCAATCATACTAAAAACAACACCAGGTGCCGTGAGTCACATTTTGGTGCTCCTGAGAATGCTGCCAGAGGTAGTGTTAGCACATACTCCAGCCCAGCAAAGACAAAGGCACCTGTACCCTGACCTCTCATCCATCCCCTGTTACACCCAGGACATCACACAGACATATCAGGCTACCTCCACCTACTAACATACAACCCTCTGCTCTTTCAGAATTAGGATTCATTGTACAGGACTGTCCATTCACCTCAGTCCTGATATACAGTATCTCCAGTATTCAACTCTTGGGGTCTCACTGAAGCAAAACCCTAGAGCAGGTGAGTGACTCCCTCCAGCTGATCCCAAGATGACACTGATAGGCACTAAATACACATGAAGTCAGCCTGAATCAGGCCTGCTGGGGTGGAGACCAAAGGAAAAATTGAGAGGCATGGGAGGTACCACAGTATGTTCAGACTAGAGAGGCCTGGCTAGCACTAACAGGCAGTGTTCTCCACCTTTCTCCAACGTTAGCTGCTTTTTGGTGTCAGCAACTACTATCAGCTGCTCAGCACAGCATCCTTAGGAGCTGGGGTGAAATGAAGCCCAAGAGCTGTCACTAACATCTCTTCGTTACCTGGCAGAGAAGGCTCTCCTGGCTTCTGATTGCTCCTGAGGGGTCCCGAGTCCTGAAGTCTTCTTGCTGGCACTATCTGGCGATGAGGATGAACAAAGCTTCTTGCTGGTGCCAAGGCTGTATGGTGTGTAAGTCCTCCACTCCACTGGGGGTAACGGGCTTTGGGATCTGCTGACAATCAGGGTTGGCTGAGGCTTGTTTGAGTGATCAGTCTTGGATGCCAGACAGACCTTGATCTCATGTTGCACTTGCATTGCCTGTAGCCTCTGAGGACTCGCCATCTTTAAAGCCTGCTTGTGAGCTGTGAAGAGATGCAGAGTCTCAGCACAAAGACAAGCACCTTTCTCCACATTGCTGTGGATTAATCTTTTGGAATCATGACACCTGGTGTAACAGGCAGCGTCTGCCACATCCCATTCAGCTCTGAACCCTCTAATGTCATGGAGACTGGGTGGGACTTGAGTTTATACCAGTCTTGCCTAAGCACCATGTTACAAACCTCTTGTGAACAAGCATAATGAATTAGAAAACACAGCAAGACTTTCCGTGTGAGCTTTCATTCCCCAAAAAACCATTTCTGAGTTGTAATAACAGAAAAGCTGACTTTCTCCCATGATTTCTATTATCCAAGTCTTCAAAGGCAGCAGTTACTCTGCATCCCAGAACTGACTCCCTGAGGCATTCAAAATTGCAAAGTATACATAGGTGGATCTAGGATTTTGAAACGGGGAGTGCAATTGGTGAGGTGTATCATCCCATATAACAAAGCACATGTTTTTCTCTAGGTAGAAAATAAATTAGAAGCTTTAATAATATGCTAGGGACCTAGGGCTATCTTATTCAGTTTAACATTGAAGCAAAAACATCTATAACTTTATTGGAATGATTTTAAAATAGTCTGGGTGGCTGTGAAATAGAAGTTACCAGGAGCAGCTACCAAAGAGCTTGATTAGTGGAATATCAAGATCATTAAAAAGGAGGGAGGGTCATTAACATCTCTGCAATGAAGAGTTCAGAAGGAATTAGGTAGATTTTAATGAGCCATGAATTTACTTGATGCTTTTGCTGCTGCCTGAGCAGAAATGCTGCTGCCATTGGTGACACGTAGGGGGTGCACACAGGTGCACACCCCCCCGAGACGGGCTGCCGCCACTGGTGGCACCAGCAGGTGGGTGGTGCTTGCCACCCTCCCCTCCTGCTGCCGACACCGCTTTGGCCACCTACGGCGGGTCCCTGCTTGGCCCACCCTTGCCACCAACATCACCATGGCTACCTGCAGGCAGGCCCTGCTTGCTACCGCTACTGCCTGCGGGTGGTTGCTGTGCCCCCACACAGCCTCGGCAGACACAAGGCATTCATGGCTGCTGCCACTACCAATCAGTTGGTTTTAAACTTTGGGTGGAGCAGGAATCAAAGCAGGGAGGTGCAAGTGCACTAGTGCATCCCCACCCTCCACCCCCAATCCACCCTGAAAGAATGTAAACTAAAACAAACACTGCACTCAGGTAGGACTCAGTGGGATTGCACGTGTCTCTTCTGAAATGCTAGTCTGACCTCTAGTGGCCACCAATAGCTTTAGGCGAGACAGTATACCAACCCTAGCTTTCTTAGAGTCTTCTCTGTGTTGTAACAAGACATCTGACTCCTGCTATCAGAGGACAGTGGCCATCATAGATGACAGTCCGGTTGTCCTCTGCCCTCTATTGATACGAAACTGGATGCCTTTACGTCCTCTATTTTTCTCTTGAAGAGAAAAATAGAAGACATAAAGGCATTGGGTTTTGTATCAATAGAAGACAGAGGATAGAGTAGCAGAAAACGGGAATGTCCTGTATGATGGCCACCTACCAGAACCCAGAAAACAATGAGACCTACCAAAAATGTGTTGTGGCACCATTTCAGCAGCAGCATTGTTTTCTACTCTGTACAGTAGGGATTGGTGAACCTAGAGGTATGCTTGGATATGCTTCTCCTGACTTTACTGTGTTGTTTTTTTCCTCTATTTGACTCTGACTCATGTAATCCTCTGTTAGTGAAGTCCCATAGTCCAACCTAATTCCAAGAGAAAGTGACCCCCATCCTCCATGCACACCTGAGGTTGGAAAAATGGAGTTGGCACATGTGGAGACTTACACAAAGAGGTGCATCGACAAGGATCATGCTTATCCAAGTAATGTTCCAGTGTGTCCCAGCCCCCTCCAACCCGCACCATCACATGATTCCGTAGGATCTGAAACAAATAAAGCACCCATGAGTGGTGAATCTCCATGATCTGTGCAAGACATGAGCAAAACATGTCACCATTCTACTGCTTAATTCCTCAGTGAGGTATGTGTGGCATTGCCCATGCACACACAAAAGCCCCAGACTGTGCATATGTGCATAGATACATGAGTTCATGCACACATGTGGCACATTTTCACAGTATAAGTAGACTCTAGTCTTCATTGCCAACAGCAAGGCAGGAAGGGAGGCTGTCTAACACCAAAGCACAACTGTACCAGTAGGGATAGAAGAGACTATCTCTCATTGGTTGGCAGATCACTTATCCCAAGCAGAGGGTGTGCAGTATTCTCAGCACCTAGCAGCTCCCAGCATGTACCCAATGCACTGAGCTTGTCTGAACACCTGGCCCCAGTTGTGCAAGTGCTCAGCCTTTCTGCAAATTGCAGTATCAGGGACTGAACTTGATAGATACAATGTACCCTCAGTTCCTGATCATTTCATTGCTCAGCATGTCCCAGACTCTGTATTTTGCTTTGTAACATACAATACATACAGGCAAACACATGCACATTTTTGGTTTGCATGCCTCCCTATGCATGCACACTCAGCCATACCTGTGGTTGCACATGTACATGCACAAACAGCTGCTCTTACCCAGCTATACATTACATGTAGATAATGAGTAAAAATCTCACTTAGTCCAAAGGGCATTTGCATACATTCGGATGAACAGGAAGCAGTGGAGGACCATCAGCCTTGAGGCCATCACCAGCGTTATCTGATTCCTGCTTTGGAAAATACGCAGGGACTCAAACATGGCACAAGGACAGAGCCTGCTCCTGCCACATCTTATTCCAGGAGAATGTCTCTGGAGACCAGAGATTACCCCTGTCATTGCAAGGTGCATGTGTAGGTCAGGAGGATGCACAGTCACCTGGGTGGCATCTCTGACAGCATGAGGCGTTTGGGGGATAACATCAGTGAGTCCCACAACAAAGGGCAAAAAATCTGAGGACCTTTGATCACAGTTTTCAGGTTGCTGCACATTCACATAAACAGTGCTACCCAACAGCTATCAAGAAAAAACCCCTTCCCCCCAGGGGAAACTTTAGAGACCTCCTATATAAGACATTAAATTAAGCAAAAGGGAGGGAAGGGCCAGCTTGCTAGCAGCCTTTCCTGTCCTGCAGTGTGTGCAGTAGTGTGGTACCAGATAGCCCTGGAGCCTGGGGTCCTGTACTCATCTGTGTGGCACAGGCAATGTCAGCTTCCCTCACACTCCCCATCTATATGCTTTGGCTCTGCTCTTGAAAGGAACAGAAGGAAATCCATCCCCCGGAGGCCAGTCAGTCCAATTGCAGTGGTGGGCTTATCCTAGCAGGAGATGGAGTGACTCACTGTATACAGGGCACAAGAGACCTATAGTACAGACCTAGAGCTTTATATCACCACTGAACTGCCCAGTCCTACTCAGGGTGACAACATGCCCTCTGTATTGACACATCCCAGCTTTTGGGATGGGGCCAAACACAATCAGATGGGTAGAATCTACATTTGAAGAGCTCCTATCAGAAAGACTCAACATTTCAGCAACAAAAGCTAGCAGCAGGGTTCCCCTCCTACCTGAGAGCAGTTTAGAGCTCCTGGTTCCATCTAGGCTGCAAGATTTTTGGGAAAGAGACAGTCTTTCACTATACACACATACAGCACCTAGCACAAGGAGGCCCTGATGTCCCTTGGGCATACCCATCATACAGTTCTTTTAAAAATGATTGAAAATCTACTTTGCATAATCAATAAAGTTCTT